TATATATATACAGCAACAAATCCAGGCCTATACCTGCATGTTATATTCGTCGATCCATTGGGGAACACACTTGGATAGGTCTGGACCATTCTCATGCCAATGGCCGTCTGTCGTCGTGCACATCCAGGTCGCATAACCTAGTCAGGAACAAAACAATCACAAAATCGAAAGTTCATAAGCGTATCTACGGCACGCCTAGAGAATAGTTAATCTCAATATTAATATATTTAAATTTATTCAATACAATTTATTGCTGTAATAACAATATTATTTATGGGTAATTGTTTTGAAGTTTGATGTTAGTTGTATAATCTTAGTCTTTATGCACTTCTTCTACTGCTTATTTCTTTATTAATTGTAAACGTTTTATATATGTTTGTAATCCTATAGTAGGCCTACATTTTTATTAATTGCTTTTCGATATTATTATGTAAAAACACATTTTTGCTTCAATGTATTTTTGTATTTGACGCAATGATATCAACTATTATAAAGTAAACCAGTAATGCAATGCAATGTGTAGTCAAACACTCTCCCACATTCAGTACAAAGAAATCCCGATAAATCATTTAATCATCTTAGACGGACCAAGCCAATTCAAATGTATGATAAGTAGAATTCGTTGATAGGCTTACATCCAATCTTTACTAAAACATAACTAGGTGCAATGTATCTTAATGCATACAAACTAACCCTAACTTGTGAATTTAAATAGTCGGTAGATTGACCTTTCCGATAAACCCCATCCGTTTGGTATTGTTGCAAAAGGTCCTACAACAACGACAGCGTAAACCGGCATGTTAGCGGGGCTTGACGCACGTGTACCCTGCCCTGTTTTGATTGGTCAGTTGTTGAAAATTATTGAAACTCTTGTAAGAACATGGAGGAATTAAGGCCAACTCAGACAGCGTCGTACGACGCAGCCTGAAGCCGGTTTTCTACTAGGCGAATGTATTCGCGCGAATCGAAAGCGTCGTTCAGGCGCATGCGCATTAACATTTCTATCGAAGTTTTCGCTTCATCAAAATTGGTAGTTCGAACTGTTTCTACTTTTTGAGAAGCGAAAAATGTGCGCAACCAATCAGAGCTCAGGAACCGAACCGACGCCTTCGATTCGCGCGAATAAATTCGTCTAGTGGAAAACCGGCTTGACGCGATTCATCGTCGGGGACAGTCTTGAGCCGTAGTGAGAAATATTAAACATGTTTAATATTCTACGACGCGACTGCCCCCGACTCACACAGACCCGATGCGACAATAACCACATAAAAAAACGTCCAATGATTAGTTGACACTACAGTAAATATAATATAGGCCTAAGCTTACTCAAAATATAAATATTACACACAGAAGGCATCATATTAATAATTGAAATAAACACCAATAAGTACTACTTCACAAGTGTTCAAAAGGGGCATGAGGCGTCTCACACGTACACCGAGCCATATTTTTGAACTTGCACAGTGCATGGGCTCTAACCATACGGTTTCCATTAACTGTCATTGCATGCTAACTACCCTAGAATCTCAGATCTCAAGCTGTTGCATTCTCTAATGTCATTTCATCCGTATTTTCATGGTGAAAAGGAAGGCATTTTTATAAGACCTCCTCTGGGTTTATAGCCTCTCTACACAAACCAAGCTGCACCTGCTCGTAGCCCTGTTAACCCAGGCATTGTGGCCTGGGAACTAACGCAGGATATGGTACCACACAGATAATCTGAAGGGGTATTGGAATACCCTAGAAGGAAATGGATGTTTGCGACGTCTAGCAACATCGGACTATGGGTGAGGTAACCCTGACCTAAACCTCTGCCGACAACACGGTCGTCTAGCCAGCACGTCGGTATACGGCTTAAATCCCTCAAGAAAAACATGTGGAAAGAAGATAAAAGAGAGGCCGCATAGACCAAATGGGGCACACTTTTTAAAGACTTGATAGTTGGAAATTGCCCACGATTGACTCAAGTGATAAATCTTTTAATGACATCACACAGTCAAAGCTGAAAGGAAGCTGTTTGACCGATGAGGGTCATAGGAGTGGACAAGCAATAGTTAGCATTGGTACATATTATACCAGAACACTGAGAACAGAAGAATCACTGGAGATACTATTAGATGAACTAAAAACCTTTAAGTGGGATGTAATTGGGCTGTCTGAAACCAAGAATTCAGGAGAGGGTCCAGTGGAACTAGAAGGAGGAGCCTTGATATATAACCAAAAACAGAAAACAACAGAGATGCTAGAGGAATCCTTACTCAAAATTTAAAATTTGATAATTCAAGTATATGCAACAACCAGCGAATTGAGGATAAAGTATAGTTGAAGAAATGTAATATGGAATATGGAGGGCCATAGAAGAAATTAAGGCAGAATATAACATCGTAATGGGAGACTACAACGCCAAAATAGGAGTTTGTCAGCCAGGAGAAGATTCAATCATAAGAAAATTTGTGATTGGTGTACGAAACTGAGAGGAGATATGCTACTGGAGGACCAAACAGAACAAAAAAAAAAAAAAAAAAAAAAAAAAAAAAAAAAAAAAAAAAAAAAAAAAAAAAAAAAAAAAAAAAAAAAAAAAAAAAAAAAAAAAACAAGCAATGTCAAAAAGACCACAATAAGTAAAATGAAACAAAAATATGGAAAAATTACAACGGATCGTGAAGAAATTCTAAATGCATTTACACAATTTTACGAAGATATGTACAGTTCAATTTAGGAGGTAGAGAGCTACAAGTGTCTTGGACAAACAGTGAAGATGGAAGACTACAGGAGAGAAAAATAAAAAAGCTTAATTAGAACCAAGACAGACTGGAGCTGTTTTTTGGCAGATTTAAATAAATTCTATGCGATACCAAACTCCTAATGACATTTGCAGGAGAATTTTTAACCAGTGTGTGTTTACTCACCATGGCCATGGTCATTAACTAAAGCTCTAGAAAAGAAACTTAAGACAACACAACATGCTATGGAAAGGAAAATGTTACATATCACTATAAGAGACAAGATCAAGAACACCGTATTAAGAGATAAAACAAAAGTCGAAGGCACCATTGAAAGAATAAAATCGGCGAAGTGGAGATGGGCAGGTCATGTTGCCCACAGAGACGACAACCGATGGATATAGAGATTGGTCGAATGGCAATCAGCGAAAAAAGAAGAGTTGGACAAAAAAGAAGATGGCCAGATGACCTTACTTCTTACACTCGTAAAAATTGGGCAAGAAAAGTACAAAATGGAAACCAAATGGATGACACTTGAGAAGGGCTACATACGTCATCGGATGACGAAGCCTAGTGAGTAAGTAAGCACTACTTTGTTATGGAATGAAAATGTATAATGATATAATAACAATAATAATAATAATAATAATAATAATAATAATAATAATAACAATAATTATAATAATAATAATAATAATAATAATAATTGTAATAATAATAATAATATTATTATTATTATTATTATTATTATCATTATTATTATTATTAATATTATTATTATTATTATTATCATTATTATCATTACGGTACTATTATTAGTATTATAACAGTTGCTTATGTATATGCCAGTGGTCTACAGAATAGGCGTACAGACGATGAAATACGTCGTATGACCTGCTTGTCTGCTTGTTGTTGACGTTCGACATAGATTTTCTTTTTTTTTTTATGTTGTATGATCCAAAACATTATGTACATTAAGCATGAAGCAGATGTGAGTCGTAAGTGAATATTTACCAGATTGACCGTCCGGGCAGCTTTGAACATATTCTACTCCTGGAATGGTGTCAGGCCACAGTAACCCTTGTTCATTTCTTTCCATGCAATTTTTCCGTTGAAACCTGGAGTAGGTGTCTATTCCTGAGATTTCTTTTAGATAGTGGAAGTAATTAAATCAATAATAATAATATTTATAAAACCAATAATAATAATAATTATCATTGTTATCAATTAGTGATATTAATAGTAATAATAATAATAATAATAATTATTATTATTATTATTATTATTATTATTAATATTATTATTATTATTATTATAGTAGTAGTAGTAGTAGTAGTAGTAGTAGTAGTAGTAGTAGTAGTAAGAATATTTTTTAAATAAAAATTTGATTGAAAACGGGTAAAATTTAAATGCCTTACTAGCACAAAATTATATTTAAAGATCAATAATTAAACTGTATTGATATATTCTGTCTTTTAATATTTCATAGATAAATGTAGAACATATATTATGTAAGCATAAAAAATGTTATCACAATCTGAATAATATACAGGTAAAGACATGGGCCTATACAGTAGAACTCCTAATAAGTGGAGACCTTCGAGACCGAAAAAGTCTCCCCTTAATAGGCGTGTACCCTTAATAGGGGTGTCCCAAATGAAGGGTGTTAGAGTCCCAAAATGCAAAAATCCACCACAGATGTAAAAATAACCACAAATGTAAAAACATTGTAGGCCTACCCACAAATGTCAAATTAACCGAAAATGTCATAACACGTCAACCGAAACTGTAAAAATAATTGTTTTGGCTAAGTATTCTAACTTAGACACGCTTTCTGTGTTGGCAATTCACTAGAATAACTGCAATTTTTACCAGGTTGTTGAGTGATCGTTCTAGGACAGGTCATCTAGCACCTATCCGTGTTGGCGATTCACTTGAATAAATTTACAGGATTGGTCTTATCTACTGTAGCACGGCATCATATTTCGTAAACTTGCTTTTCATTTTTATTCTTAGATTATGACCCATCCCATCATTCCTCCATCGGATTTACTTTTACAAGGTCAATTGGTAGACGATAGCAAAGTGTCTACTGACCCCTGACATGACATGTTATTTCATTTGAGTTAAAATGAAAATGTTTACATTTGTATGAGAATTGTTTTTACATTTGCGGTAAAACAGATTTGTTTACACTTGTGGGAGAGTTCTTTTATATTTGTGATTATTTTGACATTTGTGGGTACACTGATTTTACATTTCTGGTTATTTTTACATTTTTGGGCTATACAAGTGGTTTTTTTGTAATTGTTTTAATTATATCTACAGATTATTCAGTGCTGTAGTTGGACATTCTTTAAAACGATCCACCGCCTTTTGATGGTGTAATACTGTTTGAAAGTAATGAGTGTGCAATAAATAGCAGGGCAGGCGGAACGTTTTTCAAAGTGGGGGGGGGGGCAGTAGCATTTCTTTCCGATCATACAAAAATATGCGGGCCCCTCATCAAAAATCGGGGGACCCGCCCATGTCATCTTCTTGTTGCCTTTAAATAATGAATGAATGGAAAAATGTTTGAGCGAGTATATGAAAGAACAAATATAAACGGACAAACGCTCTAACACAAAAAGAAGGAATTAACAAACCAACAAATAAAAACAAATCATATGTACCTTCATTTGGATTTATGCAAATATAGCGCACGTCTGCAAATACTCTATCGGGTGTAATGCTAAGAGGTTCTTCACATCGGTATCGCAAATATTTGAGGTCTTTTACAAAACTGCACTTGCTTTTTCCGTTACACCTGCCGATAGTGATGCAACATTTTGTTACACATTATAGGCCTATTAAAACTGCCATATTATATGAGGCACCTATTTTTACGAACTCGCAAATTCCTCTTCTTTAACGTTCAAAAATGTATTTAGATATATATTTATAGCATTTGCCTAGTGGAAATTAAAATTAAACTTAGCTATTTCTTGTTAAGTATCATGCCCCGGTGGAAACACGTCAAAAATACGAAATATACAAAATGTTCTCAAAGCAAATGGCATTCATTGGTGAAATAGGCCTAGTAAAAAAATAAATATGTGAACTATTAAATACTATATTACGTTGTCAAAATGAATTTGTAAAATTTACCTCCATAGAAACTGATTCAATAATAGATAAATATGCACATATTTTTTGTACAAACTATTATCCCATGTCTAAATAATTTGTGTGATAAATGCTATACTTTAATCATTTATAAATGTATCGAAAGGTCCACTGATTAATCTCAGATAAGAAAGTATAATACATACTCCAAGTATTGAAATACACGCCATCGTGTTGGGATTCAATATTTCGACATTAATTATGTCATCATCAGGAATGATGATTGACATAATTAATGTCGAAATATTGAATCCCAACTACGATGGCGTGTATTTCAATACTTGGAGTATGTATTATACTTTCTTATAAATGTATCAGATTAAAGATTTCATTTCATTTATTTCGTCAAATTATAAACGGAAACACATGAACAAGAAGCAATAAAGACAGATAGGCCCTAATCATTTTCACCAACATGATCATTTTGAAGTTTTTAGTTATTTACTTGGTGACGAATACATAGCTTTGTTCTGATTTTCTTATTTTGTAAGGCACGTGAACCTGTAGTCAATGTTGGCTGTGACAAGTCTGTTGCTAATGTTGAAGGTAACTTAAGAAAGCTTTCGTTATCACAATTTTTTAACATAACGGTACCTTACCTTTACAAAAATATTCAACTTTCGCGAAATAATCTTTATTTTCAGGAAGCTTTTCAAAACAGGAGACGGTGCCAAGTGTTTCTTCGTTGACTGTAAAATTGCAAAAATCACGTCTATAACACAGTTCACTAACAACCAGAGAAGCATTCACAGACCCTGCACAAGCTTTGCTCGTCGTGTGCTCATCAGTCTTGTTGCGGCAATTATATGCAATTGGGCTGATTGTCTGAACTCCATACATCACCTTATCGACGGAAATTAGCGTTTCGTTAAAACATTCTAGCTCCATCGTGCGCTTCTCGCAGGTGATATTCACTTTGGGTTCTTTATTTGACATAAATAAAATTCTATATTAATGCAATAGCCAACATAATATAATCATCGTTATCATGTAATCGCCGTCACTGGTTATCATCGAAATGATCATCTAAAACCAACATATGTATAACTTCGTATTATGTATAAGTTTTACATGGCATAGATTCGTTCACTATCTTATCATGACTGAATGTTTTTAATTCTCAATTTGTAACTGTTTCCCAGATTGCGGTACCATTTGCCTTATAATGTGATTTTTTAATGAAATTTCATTTAAACAACATTTTAAAAAATAGGGGAACGAATTCATTTTGTAAGGTAACAATTGAAGTTTTATTCACGTTTCGAATTTCTGTCACGTTGTTCCCTTTATATATAAGTTAGGTGGATATTTAACATTTCAATAATATTTGAATAATAGGCCTGTATTACTGTAATAAATTACTATTCCTTTCATTATTTTAACATATTTATTACATAGAACATTCTAGAATAACATTTAATTGACCAAATAAACAGTGTAAACCACATTGGTAATTATAGGAACACCATGTAGAATCCAAATGTAATATTTGGAAGCTTCTGGAATCTTGGGTACTATAGAGGCAAATAAGGCTTATTGGTTAATTATGATGTAATGTGACCAATGAAGAACTTAGGCAGTAGAATGCTCTTGAATGCTGAAGTTCTAGGGCTAAAGTATATAAGGTAAGAGCTTGGCCTTTTAAGGAGCTCTTTTTGAAACACATGTTTATGTTAATGTTGTGCTATTTTAAGACCGGATTCTTGTTGGAATTCATACAGAATAAAAGTTTATTTGAGAGTTGTGTTACAACATTGTGAGCTGTGTTTGTATTTTATATGTCAAAGATGGATTTCTAGTCATTTCTTACCGTTTGGAAATACGTCAAGTAGGAATTCATGACAATTACACATTACTAGTTAGTTGTATATTATTCGGTTCTGTAAATGTAGGTAATTTATATATTTTAAAGTGCATGCACGTTTATATAATAAGGGAATAACATTATATTATCGGTACTACCGTGATTTGTATTTTCATAAGTACAGTTTACGCCATAATGGTCACCGTCGCACCGACACTGATATGTCCTTTCTGAAATATATAAATACTAGAAATTGAAATTAAATTATTGCCATTAGGGATATCATAAAATATAGTGACTATCAAAGACATAACGAAAATGGATAACTCTGCTCGTGGTTTTCGCTATTTAAAGTGCCGTCTTGAATAAGCACCACGACGTCTAAATATACGGTACGTCACAGTGCTAAATCGAGTGTAAAGTACAACGTGCCTCCAAGTTTCGTATTACCAGAAATTATTTAAAAAATGATTGCACATAGACTATGTGCAACGCATGGTATAATGTTAGCACTCGAAAATAAACTTTTAAAACGCCTCTCTCGAATAAATGCCGCGCTGAAGCAGTCAAAAACGTGTAGGTCTAAGAGCCGAGTCGATTATGCTCAATGGACCATTTACTGTAGGACTGATGCTCTCTTTATTATTATACTTTATAGATACATTTTCTGTGGTGAAACTCAGGCTATGTTCACGCACAGCAGCTAAAGGCTAGCAACATCTGGGGCCACATTTGTCAAACTAGAATTCAGCTTAAAAATGTCTTAAGTCCATTTTTTTTTTTTTTTTGCTTAAGTCAAATTTATCCATATTGTTTAGCTTAAAAATTGCTTAAAATTAGAAAGTCGATTGTACGTTGGCACCATCTAAGACGATTTTTAAGCCAAAATTTTGCAAAGATTGGGTAATAAATCAGCTTAAGACATTTATTAGGGACATCTTAACATTTTTGACTTAAGACATTTGCTAAGCTGAGATTGATAAATCCCGGGCCTGAAACTTTAGCTGCTGTGCGTTCATACAAGACAATCCACTACCCAGATACAATGAGAAGTATCGAATCACTGGCCAACAGGAAACTGAACATTGGAAACGCGTACGATGGTTGGTTGTTGATAGAAACGCGCTCAACTTGCTAACCGATAGCGCTCGCTAACCGTTGGCGTATCCAGATCCTGGTAACGGTTAGCGCTAACCGATCGGGCGTTTACACAGGGGTGCTAACGGTTAGCTCCCGATCCGGAATACTAGGGCTCTCATGTGAACCTGACCATAGACATCATGACAAATTCAATCAAAGTCAAAATATATAAATAATAAATTGATCATTAAAAAATAATCAAAGTATAAGCTTTCAATGAGAGACAAAACAAAAAGACATCAATTTGGTTAATGTCGCTTTAACGTAGCAAAACACGATTTTTCAGAAAATCGCAATGGCGTCGAACTATTTTGTGGTCAATCGTAGCTAACCGTAGCGCGCCGTACTTGATCCTTATTCCATCGTGGATTGGATGGGATTTATTCGGTGTAAACACCAAGGATAGCCCACAAAAGTCTAGAAGAAAGCTTATTTCCAGTGGGGTCCATCTGGTGTTGATTGGGCAGTACACCGAGAGACAACCAATACTTTTTTCCGAAGAGTGTACTGCGTACTATAACGTGCGCATAATCCATGAATGCACACGGGACCAACGGCTTAAACGTCTCATCCGAAAGGCGGTGCGCTATCGTAACTTGTATTTCAGCCCTCCAGCTGAAACA